AAACAGAAAGAGAAATTAAGGAAACAATACCATTCACCATTGCAACAAAAAGAATAAAATACTTAGGAGTATATCTACCTAAAGAAACAAAAGACCTATACATAGAAAACTATAAAACACTGATGAAAGAAATCAAAGAGGACACAAACAGATGGAGAAATACACCGTATTCATGGATTGGAAGACTCAATATTGTCAAAATGGCTATACTACCCAAAGCAATCTATAGATTCAATGCAATCCCTATCAAACTACCAACGGGATTTTTCACAGAACTAGAACAAATAATTTCACAATTTGTATGGAAATACAAAAAACCTCGAATAGCCAAAGTAACCTTGAGAAAGAAGAATGGAACTGGAGGAATCAACCTGCCTGACTTCAGACTATACTACAAAGCCACAGTCATCAAGACAGTATGGTACTGGCACAAAGACAGAAATATAGATCAATGGAACAGAATAGAAAGCCCAGAGATAAATCCACGAACCTATGGTCACCTTATCTTCGACAAAGGAGGTAAGGATATACAATGGAAAAAAGACAACCTCTTTAACAAGTGGTGCTGGGAAAACTGGTCAACCACCTGTAAAAGAATGAAACTAGAACACTTTCTAACACCATACACAAAAATAAACTCAAAATGGATTAAAGATCTAAATGTAAGACCAGAAACTATAAAACTCCTAGAGGAGAACATAGGCAAAACACTCTCCGACATAAATCACAGCAGGATCCTCTATGACCCACATCCCAGAATTTTAGAAACAAAAGCAAAAATAAACAAATGGGACCTAATGAAACTTAAAAGCTTTTGCACAACAAAGGAAACTATAAGCAAGGTGAAAAGACAGCCCTCAGATCGGGAGAAAATAATAGCAAATGAAGCAACAGACAAAGGATTAATCTCAAAAATATACAAGCAACTCCTGCAGCTCAATTCCAGAAAAATAAATGACCCAATCAAAAAATGGGCCAAAGAACTAAACAGACATTTCTCCAAGGAAGACATACAGATGGCAAAAAAACACATGAAAAGATGCTCAACATCACTCATTATCAGAGAAATGCAAATCAAAACCACAATGAGGTACCATTACACGCCAGTCAGGATGGCTGCTATCCAAAAGTCTACAAGCAATAAATGCTGGAGAGGGTGTGGAGAAAAGGGAACCCTCTTACACTGTTGGTGGGAATGCAAATTAGTACAGCCACTATGGAAAACAGTGTGGAGATTTCTTAAAAAGCTGGAACTAGAACTGCCATATGACCCAGCAATCCCACTTCTGGGCATACACACTGAGGAAACCAGATCTGAAAGAGACACGTGCACCCCAATGTTCATCGCAGCACTGTTTATAATAGCCAGGACATGGAAGCAACCTAGATGCCCATCAGCAGACGAATGGATGAGGAAGCTGTGGTACATATACACCATGGAATATTACTCAGCCATTAAAAAGAATTCATTTGAATCAGTTCTAATGAGATGGATGAAACTGGAGCCCATTATACAGAGTGAAGTAAGCCAGAAAGATAAAGATCATTACAGTATACTAACACATATATATGGAATTTAGAAAGATGGTAACGATAACCCTATATGCAAAACAGAAAAAGAGACTCAGATGTATAGAACAGACTTGTGGACTCTGGGAGAAGGCGAGGGTGGGATGTTTCAAGAGAACATCATCGAAACATGTATATTATCTAGGGTGAAACAGATCACCAGCCCAGGTTGGATGCATGAGACAAGTGCTCGGGCCTGGTGCACTGGGAAGACCCAGAGGGATCGGGTGGAGAGGGAGGTGGGAGGGGGGACCAGGATGGGGAATACATGTAAATCCATGGCTAATTCATTTCAATGTATGACAAAAACCACTGCAATGATGTAAAGTAATTAGCCTCCAACTAATAAAAATAAATGGAATAAAAAAAAAAACATTTGGGGGAACACAGCGTCTTTAAAGATGCTCTGTCCCCTGATTTGTTCCTCAATCCCTCCCCTCCTGGTGAGAAAATGATGACCTCCCAGCCACAAGCCCTGAGGGCCTTTCTCATCCTGTCCCTTGACCCTGGAATGGACTTTTCAAGAATGCCACTGTCATGAAAAACAAAAGCAGAGGATTGTCTTAAATTACGAGATGAAAGGAGTATGACCAGCAAATGCAATGGGTGAGTCTTTAAAAAAAAAATTATTTATTTGGCTGTGTCAGGTCTTAGTTGCGGCATGAGGGATCTTCGTTTCAGAATGTGGGACCTTTTAGTTGTGGCACGAAAACTCTTAGTTGCAGTTTGTGGGATTAAGTTCCCTGACCAGGAATCTAATCTGGGCCCCCTGCACTGGGAGCAGGAAGTCTTAGCCACTGGACCACCAGGGAACTCCCACAATGTGTGAATCCTGATTGAACTGCGGGTTGGAAAAAAATAAAAAACTGAAGTGACACCTTGGGGGATAAATGGGAAATTTTTAATAGGGAGTATATTTTAGATATTAATGTGTATCGATCGATGTTAAATTTATGGTGTGTGATAACTGCATTGTGGTCATTAGGAGAATGTCCCTAATCTTAGGCAGTGGATACTGAAGTAGTGGTCAGGGTCGGGAGATGTGCCATACCCGCACTTATGAACCGTCAGCAAAATGAAAATGAAGTGTGTGTGTGTGTGCGCAGGTGGTCATTTTAGTGTTTCAATGTTTTCAAAATGAAAAGTTTGGAGGGGAAAGGTCTGTGGTAAAAGAGGGGTGCCATTCCAACTGTCTGGGAGAAAGAGGAGGGGAAATGCAGCCGGGGGTTCTGATGGGATAGCTCAGGGGAAGCACTTCAACTCTGTGACTCGATTACCGTCCCCCGCCACACACACACACACACACACACACACACATACTAGCCTTCCACCCCTGGTGCCCAGAAAGCATTCAAATCTAACCCCCTCGCCCCCATGGCCTGACTCTCTCAATCTTCCACGCAGAGTCTGAGGTCCTCATCTGATGGGACCTCTCCTGGTGGAAGGCCATCCCCTGGCCAAGCTAGAATAGTATCTAAAGCATCTTAAAGGTGCACAGCTCGTCCCCCTGGGGAATGAACTGAACCTCAGTGGGCCTGAACCACTGGAAGTTTTTAAAAATTACATTCACTTAGAGGATGAAAGGGAACCCTTGGACACTGTTGGTGGGAGTGTAAACTGGTGAAGCCACTATGGAAAACAGTATGGAGGTTCTCAAAAAAATAAAGATAGAACTACTATGTGATCCAGCAATTCTACTCTTAGGTATATATCTGAAAAAAATGAGAAAAAAAAAAAACAGTTCCAAAGATATATGCACCCCAATGTTCACAGAAGCATTATTTACAATAGGCAAGATATGGAGACAGCCTAAATGTCTATCGACTGATGAATGGATAAAGAAGATATTTTATTTATAAGTATACATATAAGTATGTATACATTACACACACAATGGAATACTTTTGTTGTTGTTTAGTTGCTTAGTTGTGTCTGACTCTTGTGTGACCCCATAGACTGTTACCCATCAGGCTCCTCTGTCCATGGGATTTTTCCAGGCAAGACTACTGGAGTGGATTGCCATTTCCTTCTCTAGGGGATCTTCCCTGACCCAGAGATTGAACCTGTGTCTCCTGCATTGTAGGCAAATTCTTCACCACTGAGCCACCACTCAGCCATAAAAAGAATGAAAACTTATCATTTGCCACAACATAGAAGGACCTAGAGAGTATTATGCATATAAAGTCAGATAGAAATACATGTAAATCCATGGCTGATTCATGTCAGTGTATGACAAAAACCACTACAATATTGTAAAGAAATTAGCCTCCAACTAATAAAAATAAATGAAAAAAAAAATAAAGTCAGACAGAAAGCAAATACTAAATGTTTTCACTTATTCGTAGAATCTAAAAAATTAAGCGAATGAATGTAACAAAACAGAAACAGATCCACAGACATAGAGAACAAAACTATTAATAGTTGGGATGGGGAATAGTGGAGAAGGAAGGAGGGAAGGACAAAATAGGGGTAGAGAATTAAGAGGCACAAACTACTATGGATAAAATAAATAAGCTACGAGGACGTATTGTACAGCACGGGGAATATAGCTGATATTTTATAACTTTAAATGGTATATAATCTATAAAAATATTAAATCACTATGTTGTACACCTGAAAATAATACAATGTTGTGATTCAACTGTATTTCAATCAATATATATATATTCACAACTTCACAGAAAAAAAAATTTGATGTAAAAACAAAACCGCGCCAAGATTCAGTCATCCTGCATTCTCTTTGGCGCTTGTCAACGAGGATATTTTCCACCCTAGTCATCAGGTTGGGACACTAGTTTATTGCTTTTATTTATCGCTTTTCCCTTTTTTTCCTATGGGCTTTTCCTTACAGGCATGGATGATTCCAGCCCACTCTTCCAGGGCCTCTAGGAGCCATCGGCGTGCGCGCTGCGGCCAGCCGCCGCCCCAGTGCTGGACGCTCGAGTTGTTCCCCAAGTTCCGGACTGTCCTGGTTGCGAACCGCCTTGGAAGCGGGGACACGGCCTGCCCCCTCCCTTCCTCGGGGGAAGGGGGCGGAGGAGGAGGCCCGGGAGGCCACCGCGGGGAGGGGGTGGGTCGTCTCCGCGCTGGGCGTGGGCTGGGCGAGTTTCCCCGGCCCACCGGGACCCGCCAACAATGGCCAGTTGTGGAAGGAGGCGGCAGGAATGCAGCCGGGGAAGTCGGGCGGCGGGGCGGCGGCGGCCGGGGGGCGGGGCCGGGGCGCAGCGGCAGCCTCTTACCTGTCCAGGTAGTTCGCATTTCTCGGCGAGCGGCGGCGCCCCCAGCACCTGTCGCCCGGTGCGCGGGCGGGGAGGACGGCGCGGGGCATGGCCTGGTAGAGGCCCCCGGGGAGACGGCGCGGAGTCCAGTCCCGAGCAGGGCAGGCGAGGGAGGGACTGTCCTCCCCCGGCGCCCTCGCGGCCGGCGGCAGCATGAAAAAGAACCCGACGGTGCAGGGCACTTTCAGCAAACTCTTCGGCAAGAAGCATGCCAACCCGCCCGCCACCTCCCTCTACGCCACCAACCCCCCCTGGATCTTCACCCAGGAGGCCCCGGAGGAGGGGACCCGGGGCTTTGGTAAGTGCGCTGGGAGCAGGAGCGCGCGGGGGCCCCCGCGTGGTCCCCCACCCCGAGGGCGGCCCTCTCCCCGGGCTCTGGGTGTTCCGCGGCCGCGAGGGCGGGAGACGAGCCAGCGCGGAGTGGAAGCGACGCGTTTGAACCTGTGCGCTGGCCGGGCAGGAGCCTTCGGCAAAGGGAGGTCTCTGGGAAAGGGAAGGAGGGGCCCCTCCCCACCGCAAGGTCAGAGATCTTTGAGGGGGAGGACGCATCTGATCCTTGTCCCTCTCCCAAGGTGTTTGTTTTCCCTCCTCGGAGGAAGTTATGTTTGCTTTATTGTTGCCAGAAAGGCTTCCCGGGGTTTGCGGTGCCCTCCCTCACCCTTCCCGCAGCAGTTCTATTGAGTCTGAAGCCTTGCCTGGATCTGAGGACTTGGGGATGGTCCCTTCAACCCCTACTCTTTCCTCTTCCACCGTTCCCCCTCTCCCAGTTCCCAGCCGGGCCTCGCCTGGCCTGGCGTTGCAGGCATAGAAGGAGCTGCTATCTGGGTGCCCACACACCCGCCTCTACCCTGAGGAGGCCCAGAACCACTGCTGCCAGCAGGATAGCAGGCTGTGCCAGTCACCCAGTCTCTTTCTGGGGTCACAGGCCCTTGTCAGGTCAACCTCAGGTGCCTATGAATGAAGCCCCTCCTGACTGCCAGCTGCCCTTGGCCTCTGAGTCGGGTTGATGTGTCTGCAGTATTTGAAAATATCATACCTGCCCTGCCTTTGGGCTCTGCCTGTGGGTCATCTTATCACTGCATCTTTCTGCAATTTGTACCTTCTATAACTGAGAGGGAATCTAGTCGGGTGAGGCCAGGAACTCACTTCTTGTGTCTGATCAGAGGTTCTGGGTCCAAGGAGGGTCACCCATCACTGCTTTAGCTCACCTGCCTTCATTGTCACCCCCGTTACCTTCACTGATCTTTATGGCCAGTGTGGGGACCCCCAGAGGATGTCACAGCCTCAGCCCCTGATCTTGGATTCAGTTTAGCCCCCAGCTTATCAGGATCAGGACACAAGACACCCGGACAGGAGAGGGCAAATGAGACATCGCCTCTCTCTGACCCAAGGATCTCAGCTGGCTGGTGAAGAGAGATGAGCAAATGCCGTTTAGCCCTTTCTGAGCCTTTGTTATAAAAGAGTAAGTGCAAAAGGAACAGAGAGGTGACCTCTGATTGGAACTAGCATGTGAGCTGAGAGAGAAGGGCACCCAGCATTTCCAGAGCAAACAGCAGGAGCAAAGGTAGGAGGGCCAGGGCAGTTTGGAGGCAGGGCTTAGGAACTTAGCAAATACATGTGTCCTGCCAAGTACAACTCTGTAAGGCCTAAACACCTCTCCTCACCTGAATCCCAAACATTTATTGACCTCTTCTTAGGTGCAAGGTACCATTCTAAAGTCCTCCTGTTGTTGACTTGTTTAATCCTCATCTAGCCTGTGATGTAGGGACTGTTATTCCTGTTGGACAGATGGGGAAATGGAGGCACAGAGAGGTTAAGTAACATGCCCGAGAGCACACCGCTTTAAATGATCAAGGCAGGATTTTCTTTTTTTCTGTTTTTTAATATTTATTTATGGCTGTGCTAGGTATTCATTGCTGCTCGGGCTTGGGGCAAGTGGGGACTACTCTGTAGTTGGCGGTGCGCGGGCTTCTTACTGTGGCTTCTCCTGTTGCTGAGCATGGCTCTAAGGCGCGTGGGGTTTGGTAGTTTCAGCTCCCAGGCTCTAGAGCACAGGTTCAGTAATTTTGGTGCCCGGGTTTAGTTGTTCTGCGCATGTAGGATCTTCCCAGATCAGGAATCAAATCACCACTGAGCCAGGGAAGCCAGAGCCAGGATTTTCTTAACTGTACGGTTCACTGATTTTTCCTTTTTTTCAATAGACTTATCAAGTTGTGTAATTGTCAGCACAATTCAGTTTTAAAACATTTTTATTGCCCCCAAATTTCCTGCATGAGGCAGAGCCAATATTTGAACCCAGGTTGTGGGGCTCCAGAGACCACACTCCAGCTTGCAGAGGTGACTTTCTGGAAGATATGAATGAATGAAAGTCGCTCAGTCGTGTCCGACTCATTTGAGATCCCGTGGACTGTAGCCCACCAGACTTCTCTTGGAACTCTCCAGGCAAGACTACTGGAGTGGGTAGCCATTTCCTTCTCTAGGGGGTCTTCCTGACCCAGGGGTCGAACCCTGGGTCTCCTGCATTGCAGGTGGATTTTTTACCATCTGAGCCACCAGGGAAGCCCTGCAAGTGGAAGGTAATCAAGGGAGAATTTGGATGGAGAGGCATCTACCTGAGAATACCTCCCTTCCACACTCCTTCCCCAAGGGGAATGCCTTCCTTGCACACTTCCTACATTTTTGCTTTACATACTTCTCTACATTTTTGCCATAGATAACTTCCTCAACACTTTTGCCTGTGCTGAACAGTTAGTGGGGTTAGTAAAGAGATGTGGGCATGGTGCCCTGTCACCTCCGGCCAGCTGCTGCCTCCACCAGCAGGGCTGGAGCCCAGGGAGCCTCCTGCTCCCCAGGGCACAGGTGGGTCTCCAGCTGACTCAGCCTATTTGCACCATGTGGAGAGGTGGGAAGCAATGTGCAGCCAGCAGAATGGCTCTCCAGTGTTTCCAGGGTATTTCCCGGGACACCAGCGGGTGTAGCAGAAGTCTTCCTGCTAAGCAGGACGTGTGTTGGAGCTGGGGACAGGAAGGACTAGTGTTGAGGATTCTAGGATGTGATGGAGACCTTAGACCTATTTTGGAGTCCACTTCTGTCAATAATTGGGGGCCAAACCACTCTCTAGGCTTCAGGTTTTTTTGCTTCTGTTAAATGGGTCCAGCAGTCTGGTGTCCAGGCTCCTTACAGAATGATTGCTTGAATTTTGTATATGGCAGTGCTTTGAAGAGCATTGAAAGGAAAAACACTAAAACAAGGATTGGCAAATTATGGCCCATGGCCTGATTTTGTAAATAAAGTTTTATTAGAACATGGCCAGTCACACCCATTATTTGCATATCATCTCTGGTTACTTTCCTGCTACTAAGGGCAGAATTGAGTGACTGCAGCAGAGACTGTGTGGCTCACAAAGCCAAAAGTATTTACTAGCTGGCCCTTTACAGAACAAATCTGTTAACTCCTGTGTGGTTTATTATTATCAGGGCATGTCCAGCTCTGAGCACTTCCTGCTTCAGTTCCTCCTCCTAACATTGCTGTAGACCAGAGGAAACTGGTCTGTGAAGAGGTCTCAAAGGGGTTGGGATTAGAGTTTCATAGGATCCCTGAGTCTGTGACATTCTCTGAGATGCTGGCAGTATCCATACCCTTGGAGAACAGCTGGTAGGACGGAGCGGGAAGAAAATCAATGGGGAGTATGGAAGGGAATTAAGGAGTACGCACTTGCTCTTCGGCTACAGGCATGTAAAAATCTGTTTGCACAAGGGTAGGCTGGGTGCAGCAGGTAAAATGCAAACAGTCATGTGAGTGTGGTGATGGGTAGATTTTTCCTTACAGGATTTCCCTGGTATTTATCCAGTAACTATTAGAAGCGCTTCACTTAATGCAGCTGCATTCCTAACGAAGCCTAGGCCTCCCCACCAGGGCCTCGCAAGGGTCTTAAAAGGCCACACGATTGTTTTTAAAGTACGTGAGAAAACAGAGATGTGGATCTTTCCAAATCTCATGATAAGGGACTTGCTGCAGCCGGAGACCAGGCTGCCAGTGGCTCTGGACTCCTCCCTTGGCTCTTGGATTAGTTGAGCCAAGTTTCCTTATCTACTCTCACTCCACCCCACCCCACCAATGGGACGCCCGGCTTGCTGGGGGCCCTTCCTCCGAAATGTAAGTCACCTTCCTCATGTAGGATGCTTATTTAAGATGCAGATTCCTGCATCAGGGGGCCCACCTGAGGTATAGGAAGTCAGAACCTGGGTTCTGGACTTTTCACCAACTCCCAGGTGATTTTTTTTTTAATTCATTAATTTGTCTGTGTGGGATCTTAAGTTGCGGCATATGAACTCTTGGTTGCAGCATATGGGATCTAACTCCCTGACCAGGGATCGAAGCCAGTCCCCCTGCATTGGGAGCACAGAGTCTTAGCCACTGGACTGCCAGGGAAGTCCCCTAGGTGATTCTTTTGTATGGCAAAATTTGAGAATCCTTCCCCAGATAGAGCTGGGCCGTTCTCTCCCCAACTGAGGACTTCCTGCAGCTCTACATAAATGTATAGGGCCTATCCCAGTTCCTTATCCATGAGAACCCCTGGGCATTCTCCCTAAGGTGGCTGCAGGTTCTACTAATCATGCTCCTGGGGACCTTGTGTCTAAGGCCAAGCTAACAGGTAGAAAGCCATGAACTCCAGGCGCTGAGCACATATTTCTGGCCCGGGACAGGCTGGCACCAGCCTCCTGAAAGGAAAGCTGACCTGTGCGTGGCAGGAGTGTGGCACCAGCCTCCTGAAAGGAAAGCTGACCTGTGCGTGGCAGGAGTGTGAAGGAGATTTCTGTTTACTCCTGTCCCCTGGAGGTGTGCTGTGGTTTGCTGGCAGCTCAGTACACACACACACACACACACACACACACCGGTCTCTGCTGTCCCATTATATAATCTCCTCTTGTTCTTGTAGTTCAACTTAGAAAGCCAGGCCCGTCCTTGACCACTACAGGCTACAGCATGCCCCTTCTCTCGCAGCCAATAAATTAATGATAATAATACCATCATAATCATTATTATTTTCTCCCCTCATGCTCAGTCATATCTGACTCTTTTTCGACCTCATGGATTGTAGCCCACCAGGCTTTTCTGTCCATGGGATTTTCCAGGCAAGAATACTAGAGTAGGTTGCCATTTCCTACTCCAGGGGATCTTCCCCACCCAGAGATGGAACCCATGTCTCTAGAGTCTCCTGCATTAGCAGGCGCTTATCTACTGAAACGGGCACTATACTAAAAACTGTGTTTTCTCAATTGAGGAAACACTCAGAGG